CCAACTTTACTCTCATGCATGGCTAGGAGAAGCTCAAATGCTCAAATAATAGGGACTTCATAAATGCATGGAGCTCTTAAGACCATAAAGTTGGCATCTTTACACCAAAAGAGCTCATTAAGATTATGGATCTGAAAGAATAATCCTTTTCAGACGACCTACACTCCAATAATCATTCAAACTTGGCTAAATCATGCAAACTAGCCCCAAAAAGAGATCTAAAGGAAGATTAAGCAATGTTAGGACTTTATACCCAAAATATGCTAGAAATGGAGCAAGGAATCGAGATCTGAATGCTCCTACTTGAATCAACACCTTGCACCAAGCTCCTCTTCCTTTAATGAGTTTCAAACACACCAAAAAGCACTCGCAATAAACTCACAACACTCAAGGAGACTCTAAGGTTTCGAGATTAGGTTAAGGGACTATGAAGTCTGAAATGAGGCCAACAACCGGGACTTAAGGTGTTTAAATATGGTGCCAAACCCCGAAATTAGGGTTTCTTCCCTTGACGATAACTCGTCGAGTTGAGGCATCCCAACTCGTCAAGTTTGTTCATTAAACCACGTGGCCATACACACTTCCACACGACGAGTTGAGGCTTCCAACTCGTCGAGTTTACAAAGAATTTCAATAATTTTGAAGGTTAAATACTAGAAACCAAGTGTTACACAACATTTGATGAGTTTGTGACGTCTCGTGATTTCTTTATTGTTTTTCTATGTATAGGATTTTCTATGTTGAATGTAAGAGTTCAGAAAATCTCAAGGAAGAGATGATGGTAAAATTATCCATGTTTAAAGTCTGAATAATCAACTTACAGGTACATCTTCCATTTAGATCACTTTATCAAGAGATAAAAAAAATGGAAGCAAGATCTTTTTAGTCATTCTTTTGCTAATTATCAGCTTTATTTTAAGATCTTAGAAGGGTATTAATGTCAAAAAACTAATTTAGTCTTTTTTGTTAACTTATGTTTCAGGTATTGATATATAAGGTCTTATTTGTGTTAATATGTTGGTATTGGAAATATTGCTCTTAAAACTTGTTAGTATTTGACTGAGTAGCAAGGGTATTTATGTCATTTAGGGGTTAGTAGAAGTGTCTTTTTCTTATGATGTTTATCTTCCTAGTCTCATGACATCCTTAATTAGTTTGTGTGGTTGAATATGTAAGATAATCTACTACCTTAACTTTTGTTTCATAATCATGATTTTTTCAAATTTTTTTATCTAGGAAAAAGTATGTTGGTGGCTAGATTTAGCTATCCATGATACCCACATATTACTTAAAAGTTAGTTTTTTTCATCTGTTTTTCTCATAGTTAATTATGCCCCCTTGTGACTTTTTTTTTGAACGGGTGGTAATGTAAAAGTTGTTGCCCCTCTCATGAGTTAATGTATTTTATCTTATTTTACACCTATTGTGAGCTTTAGCACCAACAGAAAGTGAGATTGGGTTTCTCCTTATTATATTGTTTTCCTTTCTTTGTCATATTAAGCATTTTCAAAGCTCACAACTATAAATTTGTGAATAGTAAACATTAGACTAAACTAAATATAGTCATTTGATTTTCAATTCATGATCGGTAGGTGGGTTGAAAAAGATGTGGATCATAGTAAACATTGGACTAAATTAAATATAGTCGTTTGATTTTCAATTCATGATCCTTCTAGTGGTAGGTGGGCTGAAAAAGATGTGGATCCAGTACAATTCTAAAGAGAACTTATGAAAAAAGCTTCAGTCTTTAGTTGAGGATGAGGAGGTATCATCATTTTGGAGAGTTTAAAGGATTGAAATTTGTTGGAAGGTTTTTCACTTAGGTCAATAATAGTATAAAGAATATCACCTTAAAAAAAACTCGTTTTTTGACCTTACAGCATTGAAACTCAAGTAAATGTGAGCTTTTTTGACAAAAGAAATATGCTTTTACAAAGAGATAACCGACAAACAAGATACATGAGCAAAAGTTGGTATAATATGAGGGGTTTGTTGAAAAATAAGGAAAAACATTTTTTTTAAGATATCTTGTGCTAATAACTGAAATCGCTCCAAATTACCTAGGCGATTTCATCGGTTAAAAATGGATTTTTTTTTTAATTAATGGTTATAATAAAATGATTAGAAAATAATGCTAATTGGAAAAACATCATATTTTTCAAAAACAAAAATCGGTTTAACCACTGAGTTTTTAAAATAAGTTCCCCACCAATTTTTGTAATGCGTTTTTGTGTGGCCACTATTAGTGTTGTCACTTGTACGAGTTGGTTAATTACGAAAAAAATACTATATATTTTCCAAAAATTCAATTTAACCACCAATTTATGGGTGGTTTTGTTAGCAAAAACTGAAATTTGGTAAATAATTTTAGCGCATATATAGGTTATATTGGTTCCAATAGAAATGTTTTTTTTTTTTTAACACAAATAAAATGTTAGTTATTAAAAAAATTAATGTTTTTTTAACACAAATAAAATGTTAGTTATTAAACCCGAAAAAATGACAAAATATAATGGTTTTATAGTTATTAACCCTAGAAAATAGTTATTAACCCTAGAAAATATGTTTATTTTTGCAATGTTCTCAAGTATTTTTACATAACTAACACTCAAACTATCCCCATATTTTCATATGTAAAAGATTAATATAAGATCAACATAGTTAAAGATGCTTTGATCTTCACCAACAAATAAAAAGAACATCAACAATATAACATATATTGAAACAACACCAAAGCTTCTAACATACTAAACCATAAACTTCTCAAATCAAAAGCAAGATTTCATAAAATACAAACACTTGCACTAGTTTCAAATCCACCCCATAAGGTCATCATCTATCTCTATATAAAACCCCCCCAAAAAAAAAAATAACAAAATACAAAAACTCACCCAATTTCCTTTCCTCCACCTTCATATTCTCCAACAAAACATGGATCAAGAAACTTTGCCACAAACACCCACAATTTATACACATCTTCAAAATTCGTCAAAAACCCAAGTGAAGCAGTCACCACCTCCGCCCTAACAAACCCACCACCACCACTACCGCCATTACCACCACCACCACCACCACCATCATTCATCGGCTTACAAACACTCGTATCAATTGCAAGATTGTGTTTATTGTTTTGTATAACCCTCGCATGACAAAGAATCCCAATCCCAAGAGAAATCCCATTTGATTCCGCTAACTTTTGAACAATTTCTGGACTAATTAATCCTCCATTTCTGTCCCTAACATTAAATGCCACTGATCCACCTCTTTCATACTTAATTTTAGGACCGTAAATATGAACAAGTGGAACACAATCACCTTTACCTTTTTCCTTTTCCCCATTTGATGATAATCTCAATCTCAATCTCAATTGAAGTAAAGATGTCACAAGCCAATTCACCAAAAACCGAAGCCTAAAAGTCGTCTTGTTTAAACCCGACATGTTTACATGATCAAGATGCCTACAACTTATTTCGGGTTCCCTTCTTTCTGATTCTTGATCTTCAAAATATTCTTCGAAATCTTTACTTAATTCATTGTTGGTGTTTTCGAATCCAAAGGATACCCTTTTACTCGTTTCGAATCTTCCTAATAATCTGAATTCGTTTTCTGTTTCTCTTGTTATCATTGCGTTTTCTTTCGGTTTTTTTGTTTCGGTTTCTTCTTGAATCTCCCCACAATCGGGTTTTCTTCCATTTTCGTGAATTTTTTCTTGAAAATTGTCGGGTTTTTTCACGTTATGAACTGCTGCATCGAATGATAGAACAGGAGGAGGTAAAGGGGAGTTGATGATTTCGGATTGTGAGCCCAATGGGCTTTGGCCCAAATCAATCCACATCGAATTTTCAGATGATTCATCTTCACTAAAAATAGGGCTTTTCATAACTTCACCAACAGAAAAGCTTTCGAAAATAGGGCTATTACCATGTTCATGATCATGATCGTGATCCAGATCCATTTCGGTTTCGAATACGTCTCTTACCTGAGAAGGAGTGTACGCGCCGGAAAAAGCAGGTAGGAGAGCTCCGGCGTGAGTTTCAGGTACGCATTCGCTTTTTCCGGCGACTTCATCTTCTCCGATGAGACCAGATAACCCTGGAGTTATGTCAATGGAGTCGCTCAAATATAAAGGAAACACCGGACTGATCTTGACTATCCCAGATCCGGCGTGTCCTGCCGGATTTTGAAGACTTCCGATGACTGATTTCTTGATGAGAAGACACCCGAATCCAGTCGGGTCGTACCCGAAAACTCTGTAAAAAGAAGTGATGATGAAATCGGGTCGAAATAGTGATAACCCTAGAGAATCCATATCTTTCGGACCCAAAGCACCAGCGTCAAGTAAAACATGCCAGTTGTTTTGTTGAGCTAACGCCATCCATTGATACGAGTATTTAGCTCCGGTGACTCGAGATTGAACAGGAAAAACGAAGAGACCAGTGGATGAATCTTTCTTCCTTCTTTTTTTGTTGACGATTTGTTTTCGGAGATGGGTTGAACATGGCTTCAATGTCGGCCATTTGAACCATGCGCTATGAACCTTTGCACCTTTTTCTTTCGCGCTTTGAGCCATCCAATTTACAGATTGGCTTTCATGATCGAACATTGTTAGAAGCTTTTTGTTGGTGTGAAATGGGTATGATTCCGCTAGAAGTTTGAAAGCTGAACCTCTGCTAACTGTGAACACAAGGCCATATTCGTTCTCTGGGATGTTTAAATAATCCATGATTCTGGTTTTTATATCGTATTCGACAGTTCCTTTTTCTCCACCACCGTATAGAGCATAATTGCTCAAATGTGCAGTGATTTCAGATAGAGTGATTGTGGAAGATTCCCAGTAGTTAACAGTTTGAAGAAACGAAAACAACCCAAATCCGCAGTAATCGAGACATACCTTTGAGATTGTATCTGTCAAATGTGAGTACTCGTTTACCCTCAATTGATCGATTTTCTCAGATGATTTGTACTTCGGGTACATTGTCAGGAACTTTGAGAAAGCTTCATCGAATTCAGGAATTGAATCTTCGTCTTCAAATGTTCTATCTGCAGCTAACGAAGTTGCTTTGAGAAATTCCTTTTGAGCTTGTAGCCTAGCGAGTGATCTCGATCTTCCCAAACCCTTTTCTTCTTTATCGATTGGCTCGGAAAAATCCATATTTTGGGATTTAACAAGACACCCATCTTCAGAAGCTTGTTCAAGTGCTTCTCGAAGCTTATTCTCCTGCAATTTCCGAAGAACAGATGGGTTTCGTTTAATTTCTTCATCGGTGTGATCAGACCCATACTTCCTTCTGCTCTTTTTGTCGGAAATTAGAGAAGCACAATGAGATATGATGGGTTTCCACAGTGATATATGCATTGAATGGGCTCAATTTTACAAAGATTAAAAAAAATGATGGAGAAGAAGAGTAATATTGTTTGATTGTGAGTTTACGAGTTCATCCCATCTAATTTCTCCCCCAAAAGCACAAAAAAAAGGTCGGAACCCTAGATTCAATAAAGCAAAAGCACTCAATTTTGAAGCATTTTCAGAATCAAAACCTTTAATTCAAACTACCAAAACGCAAAGTTAGAGGAGAATCAACTCTCGCTCAAAAGGGTTTCCAGTTTCCTTAATACAGAAGGATACAAAATTCAAAACAAAACACACAAACACACACATTCATCAGACTCAAAATCAAAGGAGAAAGTTACAAACTACAGAGCGTAAAGAGATTACTGAAAGCAATGATTCCTTGGATAAAAACCCTAAAAGAGACTCAAAGGGAAACCTGTCGTAATTAAAGCAATGGAGTAATGGGATTCCTCTGAATCTTAATAAATGCAAACCTATCGCAATAAATGGAAGAAGCAACGGGTAGCGAGATGTGAGGGGTGGAATTGATTACACTCTGTGTTCTTGAGCTTCTCTACATGGCAACGTGGTAAACAGCTTAAGGAAAGGAATCTTTTTATATATTAAAATGTATAAAATTAAAGGTTTAGTTCAACTTCAACTAGTTTTTTATAGCTTTTCTTTATTTCTTTTTTGCCTTTCTCAAGTAAATATTAAATTCTTTTTGTTTTTATAATAGTTTAGATACTAATTTTATTTTATTAAAGTAATAAAATATTAAATCAATTGGTGTATACATTATAATGAATGATTGGTTTATTAATTGGTTTGTTAAAATAATAATTGGTTAATATGGAAGAGTTTATTAAATTATTAAATCAATTAGTTCGCCAAAAATTTTGGAACCCAAACATTTTCCAACAAACTTACACTTTCAAGTTATACCACAAATGTAAAAACACTCTGTGAATTCATGAAATTGGTTAATGAGGGTTGGTCCCATTTTTATATTTCACAAACTAACAAATTTATGTTTTATTCAATAATTTTTGAACTTTAATCCTTGAAAAATTCGTGAATTTAGTGAACTTTAGCAAGATTAGCAAATAGCAACGAGAGGCAAGAACATGATGACATATTTTGAGTTCTCATTAAAGAATCAACATGAAGTTTGGGTGGCAAAGATATAGAATGTGGAAGATGGTTTCAATTAGGTATACATTTCGAATTGGTAAACTTCTTAAAATTTTCAAATCAAATATGAATTAGGTGGTCTTTTGTAATAGAAATAAGTTAGACCCCGTTTGATACGCATCTTTCTAGGTCCAAACAGATCTTTTTTGGCTGAATGGACTGGAAAGACTGTTTGATTTGCACAAAAGATAGGGTCTTTCCCAGTAAGATATGTCTTTCTCAGAAAGCTCCAAAATCATATCTTTCTGGTTGAATGGGTTGTAAAGACAATTATACACCAAACCCCGTCTCTTTCTTTCTTTATTGGATTATTAATTTTGTTAAATAACTTTTTAAATTTTTTTTATTGAAATATATATTTTTTTTCATTATTCAGCACATTCAATCAGATGTACAATCAAACAGCAAGGTTTGTTTCCCAGACATAAAACTTTCACAGACAACATTTTACCAGACAGTACTTTCCCAGACAGAAACTATCAAACGGGATCTTAGATGTGCTTTTAGGGGTCAGATCATAGGTGAACTTCAAATTTTGAAAAAATATCTAGCAACTCAATCACGATGCTTACATCAAATTTATTATATAGCTAAGATTTGTAGGTGTCAACATTTTTAAATCATCTATAACTATCAAACTGTCATGTAATCTTAGTTAGGTGTGTTCACAATTTAGTTTGTTAATAAAAAGGGTGCTCCTATTCAGACGAAATAAATTCGTGTATAATCAATGATTATAATCAATCCCATCCCATTTGTTATTTTGGCGATTTCAAATTGTTTTCATATTTTTTGATACTACCTCCTTTAACTTAGATGCATGTTACAAAATACATCCTTATATATTTTATTCACTCAAATTTCAATAACTTATATATATATATATATATATATATATATATATATATATATATATATATATATATATATATATATATATATATATAGTTAGGTTCATGTGAGACGTGAGATGCATTTTTTTTATTTTTAAAATTTTTTTTAGTTAATTCAAGTTCCGAAAATAATATTTAAAAAAAGAATTTTTTTTGATTTTTTAATTTATTTTGCATTTTAAAATTATTTTTAGAATATGTACAGTGTAATATTCTATTTAGAATATTTCATGTATTTTTCAAAAAAAAAAATAGAACTTTTTTTATTTTATTTTTTTTAGTTAATTCAAGTTCCGAAAATAATATGTAAAAAAAGAATTTTTAGATTTTTTCATTTATTTTGCATTTTAAAATTATTTTTTAGAATATGTCAGTGTAATATTCTATTTAGAATATTTCACGTATTTTTCAAAAAAAAAACGGGATTTTTTTTATTATTTTTTTAGATAATTCAAGTTCCGAAAATAATATTTAAAAAAAGAATTTTTGGATTTTTCCATTTATTTTGCATTTAAAATTATTTTTAGATTTGGTTTCGCGGTCTCACAAAATTAGAATGGTCTCAAATGAACCTGAACCTATATATATATATATATATATATATATATATATATATATATATATATATATATATATATATATATATATATATAGGGGTAGGTTAAGACGTTTCTTTTGACTTTGGAGTTTTGGTCAATATAAGTAATAGAGACCATGGAGGGGTAAAATGGTCTTTTACCCACTTCCCGATTAGAGAGGGAAAGAGTGATCGTCGGTTTAATTAGAGTTGAGATTTCGAGTGTTAGTTAGAGATATTTGCCCTATGTGTTAGGCGGTAGCGAGTTCGGGATTCAAGTGTGAAGATAACTGCTTTCTGCTTGCTAGGTGAATCTTCTCACTACACTTTACCTAGAGTGGTAATTAGAGTTATGTGACAGAGTATTTTATATGCTATTTATGTGATGTGATGCACTGCATTATTTCTATGTGATTTATGTTGTGTATGTGTTCCAGAGTATACAGAGTTACGACCGAAAGATCCATAGAGTTAGGACCAGAGGGTCCACAGAGTTAGGACCAGAGGGTCCATAGAGTTATAGCCTTGAGTGGCTAATATGTGTTTTATGTGATATTTTGGGGAACTCACTAAGCTTCGTGCTTACCGTGTTGTGTGTTATGTGTTTCAGGTTTTTCTCAGTATCACGGGACGACACCGGCTTGATTGTACACACCAGAGGAAGAGTTATGTTTTTGAGGATCCTGGATTATTATTTAATTGAATATAGAGTTATGTTTTGTAATTTAAACAAAGTGTTTTAAGAATTAAGCGATTTTAAATCAACATTTTAGTTTTGAAAAATTATGGTGTTACAGAAACTAATTAAATTCATCATTAATATCAACAATAACATTCTTTCAAAATTCATCATTGATATCAACAATAACATTCTTTCAAAATGAATTCGCATCTAGATTTTTATGTATGAGTTCGTTTTTTATTTCAGGATTCACTCACTTAAAATATAATAAAGTCACCTGAAATATGAAGAACGAAAGTGTATTATACTAGAATACACTCTCATTCTTGTAGATACAAATTCATTCTGAAATAATATTATTATTGACATTAACAAAGAGTTTAATTAATTTTCATAAAAAGGGATTATAAGTATGGATATTATTTAATATACATATAGTTTTTACTAAAATCTTATTGGTGCATTCTAGTACACAATAGATATGAGAAACATTTGAACCTCTCCCCCCCGCCCCCTCTCTCTCTCTCTCTATATATATATATATATATATATATATATATATATATATATATATATATATATATATATATATATATATATATATATATATATATCGAGACCAAATGAGAACAATTTTTATTTTGAGAACAAATAAGAACAATTCTCAACCACTTATTTTAAAAACTTTGATTTTTTTTTTTTATTAATTAGATAAATAAAAAAGCTCCAATGCCATCTACCCCATTCCATCCCCTTAAAGTCAAAATTAGATGTCCATTTCTCATTTCACAATGAATGTTGGACAACTAGTAACCACCAGACCACTGCCGCAGTCACCGAAACGGTGTTGAAATCAACGATTGTTGCCTCTCCACTTTCCCTAAATTTGGTTGTTCACTTTATGTATTCTTATTTTCATATATGTTTTTCTATGTTCATTTATGATTAATAATATGTCTTTTATGACTGTTTAACATATTATCATAAGTAATAACAAACAATTAAATATTTTTTTTTTTATGTTTGTCGGTGTATACTCATCATGTGCAGGTGTATTTCTATTAAATATGCATTTTTTTTTTCAAAACTTGTTAGACACAAAAATATTTTTGGAATATTGAAAAAAAAATATGCACACAAAATGTTGAAATAAAAACACAATTAACGAACTTTACATCCAATCTATTTTAATTTGTTAAGTTGCTTAGTTATAACTTTTTTTTTCAATAATAATGTTATCTATTTGTTGAAAGATACAATATATATTAATTACTAAAAGTTATAAGTTAGATTAAATTAAAATGTTCAAATAAAAAAAAATTAAAAAAACCAAAATAAATATATATAACGTACATTTAAAAGGGTATAAATACAAATGTGCTAGGTTGGAATAAAACGTTTACTCCACATTCATTTAATAATAAAAACAGTAAAAATTAAAAGAAAAAAAAAAGTAATTGTTATAAGATAAATAATAAAATACATCACTTCATTCGTGTAAATGGAAATTTGTTTGTGCGCTTAGAATAACCCTAATAAAAAACGCAAACCATACCACGTAATACGATTTGACAAATTTATAAACCACACCACCAAAATGATGTGGTTTAGTGTGATACAATGTGATGTGGTATGTGTGTTTGAATATTTGAAAAAAAAAATTAAACTCGGTATAATG